TGAGCAGACAAAGGAAATAGAACCACTGTCTTGAGGAGACAGCTTGCATTTCTGTTTCCACGGCAGCATTATTCACAGCTGCCAAGACAACGACCTATGTGACCATTAAGAAGTGACTAGAAAATGAGACACACATTCACAGAGGAATATTAATATCAAAAACTATGCTGGTATGGTGGTGTACGCCTGTCATCCCAGCACTGGGAGGCTGAGGCAGGAGGATCCCTGTGAGTTCGAGACCAGCCTGGGCTACATAGTGAGTTCCAGGTCAGTCTCAACTCCATAGTGAGACCCTGTCTCAAACAAACAAACAAACAAAAAACAAAAAATCCAATCCCTGCCATTTACTAAGTGAAACAGCCAGACACAGAAAGGCAAATACTGCATAATCTCACTTATGACCGGAATCTTTACAAAGCTGAATTCACAGGAACAGAGTGGACAGTGGTCACCAGGGGTTGGGGGCTGGGAGAAAAGAGGAGATGCTGGTCTAAGAGTACAGACTTTTACTTAGAAGGCAGGAAGTTCTAGAGCCCTGGCCTATGGCATGGTGAGCATAATTAATATTTTGTATACTTTAAACTTGCTGATTAAGAGATTAAGTCTCAAGTGCTCCTATCACACACACACCTGTATGAGGCAACATTTTAGCTTGATTGTGGTCACCATTTCACAACACACACATACACACACATGTCACATTGTGTGCATATATATATATATTTATATATATATATACATGGGTTAAAGGGGAAGTCTAAAGGGAAATTTTTAAAAATTGAAAAATTGAGCTGGCTGAAAATGAAAACAACAACATATCGATTTTAGTATATGTGCTGCCAGAGGGAGCACAAAACAACATACCAAAATTTGGGGTGTTCAGCTAAAGCAGTGCTGAGAGGGCAATTTACAACACTAAATGCTTACTAGAAAATAAGCAAAGTCTCAAACCAATAATCTGAGCTGCCTCCTCAACTAGAAAAAGAAGAGCAAAAGAAACCCAGGGCAATAGAAGGGAGAAAACAATAAAGATAAAAATAGTACTGAGTGGGGCTGGGGATTTAGCTCAGTGCAGCCTGCCTCGCAAGTGCAAGGACTTGAGTTCGATCCCCCGTACCAAAGCAAAACTGGTAATGAATGGCACCGAAAACAAAAACAATATGGAAAAATCAATAAAACCGGAAACCTTGTTCTTTGAAAAGATCAATAAAAGACTGAAAAAGGAAAAAGAAAAGACATGAATTGCCAATATAAAAAAAAGTAACAGGAGAGCCATACAGACAGTGTAGACAGCAAAAGCAAAATAAGGAAATATTACAAATAACCCCAGCCACATAAATTTGACAACTACTCAAGAAGCAAAGACAAACTCAGCTCACCCTGTATGAAATAGATAATTTGAATATCCTATACCTATTAACTAAATTGAACTTATCATTTGAAAACTTCCAGAAATCTCTAGTCTCAGATGGTTTCATTGGCGAATTCTACCAAACATTTAAAGACAAATTAACAACAATTCTATACAGCTTCTCCCAGAAAAATAAGAGAGGTGGGAAAACTCCTCTAACTCATTTAATGATGCAAACATTCTAACGTCAAAGATAGTATGAAGGAGAGAGAGAGAGAGAGAGAGAGAGAGAGAGAGAGAGAGAACTACAGACCAATATCTCTTATGAATAGAGACACTGAAATTCATAACAAAATATTATTAAAAAGAATGTAGCAATATATCATGAAAAAAGTCAGGTTTATTTCAAGGATATAATGCCAGCATGATATTAAAAAATCAGTGCAGTCTATCATATTACCAGGCTAAAATCTTTCTGTAGATGAAAAATTGACTGATTATATCAACTGATGCAGAAAAGCATTTAAAAAACCCAATAGTCATTCATAATAAAATATCTTGGCAAATTAGCAATATGGAGGAAGCTCCTCAATGTGATAAAGAACATCTACCCAAAATGAAAACTACAGGGGCCGGGGATTTAGCTCAGTAAAATGAAAACTACAGGGGCTGGGGATTTAGCTCAGCGGTTTGGTGGCCTGCCTTGCAAGCGCAAGGACCCAAGTTCGATCCCCGGTACCAAAAAAAAAAGAAAGCTATCAATAATAACATACTTAATAGTGAATTAATTAATGAATGCCTTCCCATACAAGTGGGAATAAGATGAGCATGTCTGTTTTCACCACTATTGTTCAACCTAGTACTGGAAGTACTAGCCAGTGCAATAAGGCAAGAAAATAAAATAAAAGGCATGCAGATCAAAAAAGAAAGAAAGAAAATTACCACTATTTGCAGGTGACATAATTGTCCACATAGAAATCCCAAGAAATCTAGAACAGACTTCTAGATCTCAGAAGTGAGTTCAGTGAGGTCATAGGGTACAAGATCAACACATAGGTATCAGTTGTTGTGTAATATACTAGCAGTAATTCCTTTCTATTATATTTTTAATTGCAGTTTCAAGGAATTGACACTCTGGTGGTCATGGTCCCTAGGAGAAATGGAGAAGAAATGTGGGCACCCAAGGGCAAGGACGGGGTGGAAGACAGGTCAGGGCTACAGGCTTTCCTCTGGCTGTGTCCCTTTTCTGGAAGAAGACACACTGGGAAGTCACAGGCTTTCTGTGTGACGCACCTGTGTGCCATCTCACACCTCTGCCCCTAACGTATTGCTCATGGGCGATGACTAGACTTCATCATCTTGTCGTATGGTTCACCTTTAGTGGAAGACAGAAAAATAGTATTTCAGGACAGGACCTAGCATGTGTTCAAGTCACAGTTGGGGCACAAATTTTTTGAGAGCCTAGAAGGATTCTACAAAGGAGAGAAGAGACAGGAGCAGGGAACAGGGCAGGCTGTATGAGCAGAGAAGGGAAGGAAGACTCCCCCCGACACAGAGCAGGCATGAGCACCTGTACCAAGCTGGTGGACGAGGCTGACTGTCCACTTCCAGCCACTTTGGAGGATCTAGTGTTCCCGGTTCTCTGCCTGGAGTGATGGAGTTGAAGAGGCCGAGAGGTTGGGGGGTATTCGTGCTGGAAGGGACTCCACAGTTTGTCAGCCAGGGGTCCTCAAGGCCCAGGAAATGGGAGTCTCAGGAGTCAGGCCAAGCCAAGTTAGACCCAAGCATTGCCATTTCCTTCTGCTTAGTCTTGGGTGACGTCCAGCCATCCCAGATGCAGTTTCCTCATTTGGAAAATGGTTGAATACAATCCAGGCATTGAGGTTACTGTGATGGAAGCTAATATGTGTAAAGGGTCTGGCTCACGTCCAGCTTCAGCAGGACAGAGAACGTTGGGCGGAGCTGGTTTAAAACACACTTGGAAGCCATGTGACCCAGAACTGAGCTTCTCCGTAGCAGTGGGATTGTGACTGCTGCCCACTGGGCTACCATGAGAATTAGAAACAACAGCTCAAGGACCTGGAGACAGCAGGAACCTATTAAAACTCAAGTTTGCCTCCAAGACAGAACCTGGTATTTCTGACGCATTTAATAAACGTTCATCAAATGAACAACTTGGCCGATGAAACTCACCTGTGTCTATGTAGGAAAAATGCTGAGAGAATGGCCAGGTCGCCTACTCCAAATGCAATTCCATGCAGAGCTCCGGGGCCTGATTCCTGTCCCACAGTGACATCACCGCTATCACCTGGAGCAGGCAGCCTGCGGCAGCTCAAGTGTCCCATACTCTTGGGCCCAAATGTCCAGAGGGATCAGCAAGTCTCTGACACCCAGCTTCCTCCGGGTGCTGGGCTGTGGATTTTGCACAGGAAGAGAGCCTCCTTCCTCCTGGGTTCCGGCCTGGGTGCAGCAGAATTGCTTCCCTACCCCAAAGATCTCCTCTGGCTCTGGAAGAGTTAACCCAATCTGCAGAAACAGCAGCCACGCTGGCTTGGGAGAGTTGTTCCAATGCTCTGCATCCTAGTGGCCTCATTTCTTAACACAGGCCTCATGCTGGGACCTCATGTGGCCTGCTGTTGGTATGAAGGAAGATCTGTCTCAAACCTGCCCAGTCCCACAGCCTGGCTCATAATTCCAAGCCAAAGCAAGCACGCTCGTGCGGGCGCGCACACGCACACACACACACACACACACACACACACACACACACTCCCCGAGCCCCAGTGCTCCAGGCAGGCAGCAGGCCCTGGGTGGGTCTTGCTCCCTGTTGGGACCTGTCCACTGCCCCCTCAACTCATCACCCCTTTAGCAGGCAGAGCCTGGCGCCATGGGCCTATGCACCTCCCAAGAGAGCACTCAGGGCCCGTGACTGTCTGGTCTGAGCAGAGGCCCTGGCCCAGTCAGCCCTGGAGTGCAGAGAATACCACTTCCGGGTCAGGCTGCAGACGCCCCTGCCCACTCAGCCACACCCTTCAACGCATTGGGCCACTCACTCTTCCTGTCTGAGTCTCGTTTGCCCTTGCGTAAAACAGATTGCAATGAGAAGCCATGTAAACCTTGTGTCCCACTAGGAAATGGTCATGATAAAGTCTGCAAAGCACACGTCCCCTGGTCAGAAAGCTAAGAAATTCATACTCTGGAGTCAAATCCTCACCTTCCCACTGTCCAGCTGTGAACCTCACCCCAAGTGCCTGGCTGGTCTTTGAATGGGGACCCGAGCTGTGACTTCTTGCTTAAACTCTCCCTGCTTTCTCTCCTTCCTCTCTGCCATCCCTGATTAGCTAGGTGAGGAAAGACTGGATGGCTCCAGATGTTTGGGCCCCAGGCCAGGATAAGGCTAAAGGTGTGCAGTCTGGGACCTGCGTTCCCCACTCCTGGGCTTCCTGAGCCCACAGTCCCTCCTGCGGAACCACCTGCCACTGACTCCAGCCAGGACACCCACCTGAGCAGGGGAGGCTGCCGCCCACACCCCAAGGGGGCTGGGCCGGTCTGGGCCTCTGGGCCTCAGGGCCTCAGACCGCAGGTGCTGACTCACCACTCCGCTGGGAGTATAAAGGAACCAGCCGGGGGCTCCCTCCATGGCCAGAGGATGGCCCAGGGCACAGCAATCCGTGCGGCCCCCGAGCAGCCCACCCGAGCTGTGTGTGTGCTGGGCACCGCCACTCGGCTCGACGTCTGCGGGTGAGAGGGGAGCCACCTGGGTGTCGGGGTAGGACGGGTGACAGCACGAGCCAGTTCCGCCACCCCAAGGGCACTGGCTGCCTCTGGCTTCCACTTCTGCCTCTGTGGCCACTGACAGAGAGCAGCTGGAAAGACAAACCAGAGCAGGAGCAGCCGAGAGGGGCTGGCTTCATGGCACTGAGGCCTCTGCACATTACAGTGAGGCTTCCTGGGACCTCACCTCACATGAATGATCATGCGGCAGTCAGAGAGATCAGAGAGGGTCTGAGACTTGGCTGTGGTCACACAGCGAGGTCCCTGGCCCACACCTGGTTCCTGAGGAGAGGTGCTGCGCAAACTCCTCCGAGAGTGTGTGACAGGGTGGGGATGGTGGGACAGGCTGCGGCTTGGGGAGACAGGAGGTAGCCTCTGGCCTGCTGTTGGCTGGCTGGGTGGCCTCGGTGTCCTCAGCCGTGTGGTGAGGACACTGCCCACTTCACGGTGTGGTTTACAGATGAAACGTGGGGAGGGTGACCGTGTTTGTTAAGCACTCAGCTCAGGGCCGGGCATAATCCCGGTAGCCGTTCACTTATTCAGTCTTTCAGCACATAGTGTGTCAGGCTGTGGGTCACACCAGACGGTTGGGGAACTCTCTTGGAGTGTGCGTGGCACCGTCGTTATTGTTGTTATCAGTAACAGTAAGGTGGCCCCGGCTTCCAACCCCAGATTGGGCACCCGTGGTCCTAGAATGGTGTCAACCGGGGTGTCTGGGACACTTTCTTGAGAATGTCTCTCGCTGCCTGAGCCCAGCAGTCAGGGTCTAGTGGGCTCCAGGCCACAGAAGGGAGGCACAGGCTGAGAAGTCAGGAACAAAGGGAGAGGGAAAGCCGGAGCCACTGAAGGCCCCGGACTCCCCAGGAAGGGCTGAGTGGTGGAGGGGCTGGAGGACCAGCCAGGGGTACCCCAGCGAGCCAGGTGGGGAGCTGGCTGGGGGGGACCAAAAGGAAGGTGCCCCAGAAAGGACGAGGCTCCCAAGTCCATGGGAGCCTCAGGGGCCTCTGCTTCTCCCCCAGCCAGGTTCTGAGGCCTGTTATTCTTTCCCCGACCGCTGCTCGTAAAGATGGAGAAAATGATGTCAACCTTCTGCATACACGAGGCAGGCAGTGCTTTTAATCCCATTCTGTAGTAGGCACTGAAGCTCGAGGAGGTTAGGTAGCCCACCCGGCCGCACCAGGCTTCCTGGCAGCCACCACCCTCTCTCCCTAAAGCACAGGTTGCCGGGCCCCCGCCTCCCCCGGCACAAGTCCTACATCCCTGTTGCAGAACTCAGAGACCCCAGAGCTGGAAAGCAGGGCACGGAACAAGCTCAGAAACCGCTTTGATTTCATTCCAAGTTTGAAAAGTGCCTTCCTGCAGCAGGAAATGCCCGAGCATATTAAAATCATGCTGAGCTGAAAGGAATAGTAACACTTCTCTGGGGCTTCCTGTGCCTGTGGCAGAGTCAGAAGTCATCAGGACCAGCTTTGAAGTGCCAGGCCCCTCTCACTGATGTATTTTTCTTGGTTTTGTTTTTGGCTTTGATTTTTTTTTTTTTGGTCAGGCTGGTCTCAGACTCACACCAGTCCTCCTGTCTCAACCTCCCAAGTGCTGGGATTACAGGTGTGACCCACCACACTCAGCCTTGTCACTGATTTCTTTTTTTTTTTTTTTGGTGCCAGGGATTGAACTCAGGTCCTTGCACTTGCAAGGCAGTTGCCAGAACCACTGAGCTAAATCCCTGGCCCCTCACTGATTTCTAATCTTTGCAGAAATCTGCAAGGTAAAAGCTCCCATGGCGCCCAAGGCACGGAGAGGTGAAAACACCATACAGGTGGCCTCTGATCCCTGACTCCCCCACACGCCCTCCGAGTGCTGGGGCAATGGCTGGGCCAAGGCTGTTTCCAGTAACAGCGTCAGGGAGCTTCCTCGGGGCTGGAAAGGCCCTTGGCAGGGGACAGGGGAGGTGGTGCAGACCCCAGGGGAGGGCTGTCACTCTGCAGGTGCCGTGGATGGGTGGCCCTCCTCTTCCCCAGGATCTCCCCAACGGCAGACGGTTGGAATGGTGTCAGGGAGCGTGGACGTGTCCGTTTACGTCTCTGAACCTCACAGCGCCCGTCCGTAACGTGGAGAAATGAACACCTGCCCGCTGCGCTGTGGCAAGGACTAAGTCACTCCGCACAAGCCGGGGTCTGGCAAAGGGGCCTCCAAAACACAGCGTGTGCCTCTGTCGCAGACGCTGAGTGTGCTCCTGCCGCTGGTCCTCTGTGAAGAGACGGGGCCACGGCGGCTGCAGGACCAGTCCTGTCCCTGGAGCTGCAGTCTGCAGAGGGACGGGGGCTAGGAAGACTGGGCTGCGGATTCCCTTGGGGACACACGGTCTCTCTCTCTCTCTCTCTCTCTCCTCTCTCACACACACACACACACACACACACACACAGTGCAGACCCCAGGTGCTCGGGACAGCCCCTTGCTGGGGAGCTGAGAACATCTGGAAACTGCTCCAAAGAAAGAGCGGAAGCACAAATAAAAGTCCGGGGTGCGCGGCGTAGCCCTCTCCTCCTGGCCTCGGCCACGGCTCTGGCGCGCTGGGCAGCTGCGAGCTGGCCGAGGAATGAGCCTCCTGACCTCCCTGGAGAAACCGGGGCCTCTGGGCAGCGCGGGCTGGGCCAGGCAGGTGGCCTGCCATGGAGGCGGAGGGTTAGGGATTTAGGGCGCTGTAAGCCAGGAGCTCTGCTGGGGACCCCGCAATGGTTGTCATACCCACCCTGGTCCTCGGCACCGGGCCAGGGAAACAGTGGAGGGAGGGACCGTGTGTGTGCTCAGCTGAACGATGGGTGTGTGTGTTAAGGGAGGGCCTTTCAGGGGACATAGCGGGTATTCTTAAAGTATTTGTTAGTGAACGGAAGAAGGTTGAGCACAGGAGGCCTCATTTGTCTTGGCCGCGGTTGCCTGGAAACCC